TAGTTCCAGCTACTTGGAAGGCTGAGGCGGAAGGATCGCCAGAGCCCATCAGGTCGAGGCTACAGTGGCCGGGAGCGGCCACCGCACTCCAGTTTGAGCGTCAGAGTGAGACTCCAACTAAAAAAAAAAAAAAATCTCAGATGTGGATTCTCTCCCTCTGCGGCTCTGATTTTCCTTCCTGAGGATTCAGGATGGACATTTGGTGTCAAATTCCCTGAAATTCCCTACCACCATCTCCTCTCATTCACATACTCCTGTTGACTCTTTACTATGACTTTCAGCTCCAGAAATCGTGAACTATGAACCCCTGGGTCTGGAGGCTGACATGTGGTAAGTTGCACTGGCTACCTCCTGGTCGAGGGATTCTTCCTGGAACAGAAGGCCTCAGACCCTGCCCAGGCGACATCCCCTCAACCTGAAAGCCCCTTATTCCACACTCTCCTGTGCTCTGACTGCTCCTGGTGTGCTGGACCTGGGGCTTGGGCAACCAGAGGCCTCCAGGCCTGGACTGAGGCCCGTTAGAACCTGGTGGGGTGAGAGCTTGTCAGCAGTGGAGAAGCAAGGATAATGGCAAGAAGGAGGTGCAGGATCAGCCCTGGGCCTTCCCCAGCCAGGATAAAGGTAGTAGCAACAGTAGTTCAGTCAATCAAGGGGTCATTGAGAACCTCACATGTTCTGGGCACTGTGGTGGGCCTCAGCTCATTTGAACACCGCTTTACAGTTGGCCGAGCACCTTCATGACCTGGTTTTCTAAAATCCTGCCAACAGTGCTATTAGGTAGCTATCATGATACTCATTTTATAGTGAGAAAGAGGCTCAGAGGTGATAAGGGACTTGTCCAAACCACAGAGCCTGCAAGTGCAGGAGTCTGGTCTTGAACCCAAGTCCTGAGACTCAGTGTCCAGAGCTCCATGACTCCAAGCAAACACCTGGCTGCTGCTAAAGAGTGGGGTAGAGGTCGGGTGGTGGCTCAAGCCTGTGATCTCAGCACTTTGGGAGGCCGAGGTGAGGGGATTGCCTGAGCCCATGCGTTTGAGAACAGCCTCGGCAACTTGGCAAGACCTCATCTCTGCAAACAAATCAAAAAAATTAGCCAGGTGTGGTAGTGTAGTATGCCTGTAGTTCTGGCTACTTGGCAGGCTGAGGCAGAAGGATTGCCTGGGCCCAGCAGGTCGACACTAGGGTGACCGTGAGTGTGCCACTGCGCTCTAGCCTGGGCGACAGAGTAAGACTCCAACTCAGAAAAAAAAAGAGTGGGGTGGAGAGGGTATGAGGTGGTGCAAGACAGCACCCAGGGGTGGAGGCGGCAAGTGATCCCCGGGGTGAGTCCCTTGTGGTCTAGGATGGAACCAGCAGCCCTGACTCGACTATTCTCTGTTTTTCAGGAGCATCGGCGTCATCACATACATCCTGTGAGTATCCCCCATCCAAGGGCTCCAACTTTGCTTAGACCTGGGGGAGTTGGGAGGAGGGAGAGAGGGGCTGGCAGACACTTACTGAGCACCCACTGTACGCCAGATGGATGAGGTCCACACAGGCAGACCTGAGGCTAAGCGCTGTAAGCTCCATTTCCCACACTTGTCCCTGGGCTTGAGGTTGAGCAGGAACCCAGGAGAACAGCCTCCATCCCTCCATCCCGTGCAGCCTGTGTCTGCATTCCCGCTGTGAAAGGCCAGGCTTCCCCGCTCATCTTCCGCCTGGCCGAGGTTCACCATGAGATGCCAGTTTCCACTCAGAAGCCTTGGAACAGCCCTGAAGCAGCCTGCGCCTCTTCTTTTCCTCCTCTTTTCCCTTCCTTTCCCCAGATCCTTTTTTCTTCCCCTCATGCCCTCTGACCTCCTTTTCTGTCCCTGAAGTACCCAGTTGCTCAAGCAGAGAATTGCTACATAGCTCCTTGGTGTGGTGGGCTACTTCTGGGATGGAGTCTGATGATGCTATCACTTTCCATCTCTATGGCCTTGGTACTTAACCTCTGAGCTATTTTTCTTATCAGAAAAGTAGGAATCACAAACTTCCCGCCACAGGCGTATTGCGAGGGCTAAATAAGCCAACACTGCAAGTCTCCTAGCCCTGACTCTGGCACATACATGGCAGGTTAGTAGGTGCTCATTCCATCAGTACTTCCTAACTGTTTGCTCCTCACAGCACACATGGAAAATGCTTTTTTTTTTTGAGTTGGATTCTCACTCTGTCAACCAGGCTGGAGTACAGTGGCACAATAACGGTTCACTGCAGCCTCAAACTTCTAGGCTCAGACAGTCCTTTCACCTCAGCCTCCTGAGTAGTTGGGACTATAGGCACATGCCTCCACACCTGGCTAATTTTTTAATTTTTATTTTATGTATGTATGTATTTATTTATTTTTGAGTCTGAGTCTCACTCTATACCCAGGCTGGAGTACAGTGGCACACTCACGGCTGCCGCAGCCTCGACCTGCTGGGCTCAGACAATCCTTCTGCTTCAGCAGAACTACAGGCTTACGCTACCATGCCTGGCTAATTTTTTGATTTATTGTAGAGTTGCCCAGGCTGGTCTCGAACCCGTGGGCTCTGATAAACTTCTCACTTCAGCCTCCCAAGTACTGGAATTGGCCGGGCTCAGTGGCTCATCCTGTAATCCCAGCACTTTGGGAGGCTGAAGCAAGTGGATTGCCTGGGCCCACGGGTTCAAGACCAGCCCTGACAACTTGGCAAGACCTCGTCTCTCCAATAAATTAA